CATTAAGAATGTAGAACCGGCATTAAAACCGGTATTCGCACAAAAGCATTATTGACGCGAACTCTGCAAACTCATCAGCGCGACGTGAATATTTTAATAACATGTGCCGCAATTAATATTATCTGAATTATTTCATAGCGGTCTTTTAATCATCGCATTAATTAATACTACTGCCATATGCAATCTATGTAAATCAAACGAAGCCTCAATAATATTCTGCCGGGCAGCAAAGCGTTAAATAACCCAAATTATGATAGGATGGGTATGAATATGAAATGCTTTACGAATTACAATTTCGGCTACCCGGTCTATTGTTTGCAAATTGAAACAACACGCGTAAGAATCATAATAAATGAATTTTATGTTGAAAGACATTTTCGAATTCGCGCGACGATCGTTCGAAACTTCTCAACTCAGGTATAAGAGTAAGTACAGTCCGTGTACTTTCTTTTTCCTCACGCGAACGTCGCGTACGTACGTAAGGTGAAAACTGCACGCTCGTCGCCTAAACAAATCAAGGTGAGTTCAAGGCGAGCGGTGACACGTAAAAAAGCGATTTGTTTTACGGACTGTTTCCGCGCGCAGTTTTCACACAAAGTCATTCGTCCGCGCGGACACCGTATAAAAATTTGCGATTTAACTTTTCTCTTTCGTGCGTGTGCGCGCGCGGGGAGACCGACCGACCGCGACTCATAACTCGATTCTCGGAAAAAGGAAAAGATATTTTCTCGTTTTCCCATTGACATTCCTGTAACGACGATCGCGCGGCGGTCCTTTCTCGACGCGTTTCACAGAACTTTTTCTACGTTCACAGACGATCTCTTCAATCCTCGGTCGATGTATTAGAAAACTCATCGCGCAGAAAGAGAGAGAGATCCCGATGTGATGCCACGTCGAAAGTTAATTGAAGAATCGAAAGAGTTGCGATTGAGCGCAAACACATAGAGCACAGACAAATTTAAACGAGGCGACAAATGAGTTCATTTTTCGATGTTTTCCCTTCCGTGACCGGCCGCAGAAGCAATTTACTGGCATAACGCAAATTGTCGGTGAAACAATTTCATTGGATGCGGCACAAAGGCTCGGCCGCGAAACAATACGAGGAATATCCTACGCCCCGGTATCGGATTATTCGACGTTTTCATTAGCCATTGACATCCGCTACGTAAAATATCGATTTGCTCCGTTCTACGAACGCGCCGCGCGCGGATTTCTCCGTTCCGCGCATTAATATTAATTTTCGTGCTTTTACATTCCCCCTCGCCATTCGGCACACTCGTAACGTAGATTAATTGAGAAAGCCTGTTACCGTAGGAACGAGACAGTGGTTATTAATGACATAACAAAAATATTGAGCACGGAAACGCAACGCGCGCGCGCGCGTCCGTGCCTTCGCGGGACCCGTATAACAAACATATATATAAGTATATAAGACGCGAAAACTTTCGAGACACGGGCGAAAGACGCGGTTAAGATTTATACAGCCACTCTTCGTGAAAACATTGTTTCCGATAAGAAAGGGGAACGATTTTGCGTTATTCGCTTAAACGACGGGTCGGAGAAACCTCTGGCGCTTTCGCGATGTTTATCGAATTGCTGAGAATTAATCAGCATCAGCGCGATTAATTGCATCGGTATTCGGTCGGTGCGCGAGCGCGCGCTTGTAAAGATATTTCATTTCGATGAAAAGGGTCGCGAGGTTTTTGTTCTAAAGAGAGAAAAAGAGAGAGAAAGAGAGAGAGAGAGAGAGAGAGTACGAGAAAGAAAGAGAGCTCTGAGTTTCCCATTCGCCCGAAGAAACCTGTCATTAACGTAACGAACGATTCTTGTTGTTCACCGCGGCGAAAGCGTTTATTTCCACGTGGCACTAAATCTAAGCTTGCTTTAGGAGAGAGAGAGAGAGAGCGGGGGAGAGCGGCGGTAACGACGGGCGCAGCTCGAGGAAACAATCCAGCGTTTTTCTTTTGCTCGTGCCCGAGTAAGCCGATGCCTCGAGCCACTAATCACAAAGGAATTACTCGTCGGAAAAAGCTCCCCCTGCTTCGCTCGGTCGCGGAAGATTTTACAGCGGATATCCGATTCCTTCCCGTTTCTAACGTCCGTTAGAAACGAAAAGGTCCTAACGTCGTTCGAGCGCGCGGAGCCCCCGCGCCTTGCACGTAACCGAAAACAAATGAATATTGCACATTCAAAATGTAAGTCATAGTGATTTATTGATTTAACGGCGCGTCGTAAAGTGTACCCGCCGTTTGCGTAATAAAGCGTCTTGAAACAGTCGCGAGGAAGCAATTCAGGAGGAACTTCTCTCTCGGAACAAGTTAGAAGGGAATTGTCAAAGGCGATGTGTCTCGTCGAGACAAACGTAGTCGGGAGACACAACGCGAGGAGGTCAGTTGCGGCGGTCGCTTAAGTGCCTCGTATTTGTCCCTTCGTACGCGAGGAGGCTACTCGGCACCGCTAGGACTGCCGCCGTTCATCGTAACTCTGCTCCGGAGGGCAAGCAACGTACATTACATGCCTCCCTCTCCTCAGTTTACAACGGACGCAAAACGCGAGCCGCGCGCGGCAAATTGCATAGACCGCCTTGTATATGCGCCGCGCACCGACGTCTCCGAATGGAACACAAGAGTTTCTCTCTCCCCTACCTCAAATTGCGTCCCTATGTACCTTCTCGTCAGTGACCTGTGCCCGACCTGTGCCCCATTCCAGGACGGACCTCTTGAATCGCGAGATATATCTCCTGATTGATTCGGCCGACCGATTCCGTGTTATCGGCTGACATTATCGTACGTAAGCCGCCGCTCTGCAATGTCTCGAATGCCAGAGGTATGCTTGATTCATGGACACGCGATATTGTTCTCGATCGTGTCGCCGCAATGTTCGCCGATGTTTCCGATCGGCGCTTAGTATCTCGGCCCAATCGGATGTTGACCCAAATCGGAGAGCTAAATTACTCCATGTGTCCACATCCGCGCGTGTTGGATTTGCGGTTTGAAAAAGCGAGAGAGGAGTTGGGGCGACGAGAGAAGAGACCTATCCTCTACCGGAAAATCTGGGTCATTTTGCGGAAGAGACAAATCGCGAAATTAATAAACAGCTTTAATAAAGCTCGAAATGCGAAATATGGTATCTCCAGCAGAGATAATAAATCTTCTCCAACGGGGAGCTTATCTTCATTTTTGTTATGCGATATGTTTTAGTCTTTCACAGTAGAGAGAAGCGCGTCTTTATAAAAAGATTCTTTCACAGCGTCGTACAGATAAACAATATTTCTCTTTATGAATGCTACTACTTATTTTCCTCTCGGTAATTTTTCCTTAGTCATTAGCGTAACACCAACGCGAAAGCGCGCGCGAGGTTAATGTCAGGGTAAATAGAACATCTCAAAGAAAAGCGGTAATGCACCAACCAATACGGTAAATGGAGTAAGCAACCGAAGCGAGCAGCGTCCGGGGCGCCACGCTGACCGATAATTGCGTCTTTCGTTCTCTGGATACTCTACGACGATTTCCCCTCGCGACCTACCGCAACGATATATTTCGGAACGACGGTGCCACTTACACAAGTGCCGCCCTCCGTCCTCCTCTCGAATTCTTGCGTCGACGTTCGCCGCTCGTCGAACGAGACGAACCACGTCGGACCTTTTCGCTCTACCGTGGCCCGTAAAAGCCCGCGGGAAAGAGCAACGCGAAACCGCAGCACCGCCAACGTCTTGCGGAGAGAAAGAGAGAGAGAGACGCTGAAAACATTACAAAGCACGAAACATAGTCAAGTTTAACCCTCATCAACGTTTACAACGTATAAATGTAAAATATATTCCTGATTACGTATACACCGCCATACTTTCTTCCGTTTGGTTTGGAGAAATAAAAATAAACACTGTTTATACAGGCGATTATATATCCTAGCGGAAAATTAATTCGCGACGCCAGTTCTTTCTCCCTTTTCTGTGGGCGCTTTTTAATATTCAACTCTGTGAACTTCTTAAGCAACGTTTGGAGATTAAAAAATTGTGTTCGATTAAAATTGGTTATGAAAAGAAACAATTCATTTGTGTTGCGCAGTACGCGTTTCCAACTTTTTTTTTTGTTTTTCCGTGTGAAAATTAATATTTTAATTGAGCTTGATGACCGTTCGTCAGAAACAAAAAAAATTCGCTTTGCTATTATTATACATACATATTAGAATTGTAGAATCAGTAAATTGCATTTTTTTTTTCAATAAAATAACCGTATCTTGCTACTTCGTATTGCTTATTTATATGTATATAGCGCGTGGATGTAAATTTTATATATTAATTACCACAGTCTGTCGTAATATTGCTCCGCTGCTGAAACATTTTATTCATTTTTCGAAGTGTACATAACTACGGTAATGAAGTCGTATTCATATTCACTGCGTGTATGGTATATTTACGGGGGCTCGGTAACAGAGAGAGCAGAAACAATGCAAAAACTACGCCGGTTCGACGGTTACAAAAACTCGATTACTCTACCGTTTCACATTCCACGCTGCACAACTGAAAAAAAAAAAATTGTCGCGTTGTATTTGTTTTATTCTTTTATTTTATTTAAGTATCAAAAATAAATATGTGTGGCTTTTACTTTTTTTTTTTTTTTTTTTTTTTTAATTCAAGTGAGCACGGAAGAAAATATTTTAGATATTTTACCTGAAGTGTGTTTGACGTCTAAACACACCGGGAACGCAAACGCGCGCGCGTCCTTTATTTATTTTTATCTCACTCATAAAGTTAGAACAGAGAAAGAATCGGAGAGAGTGAAAAAAAAAAAAGCACTTGTAAGCGCCGTTAGTAGCCAAAGGGTTAAAATTGGTGAAGAGCAAGAAGAGAGAACCCGAGAGATCGCGCATACAGCGCGGATCGACGACGGTGTACTCGCGGGCGCGTATGTGCGGGCGCGGATTTAGTTCGCGGTGTCGCCACGGGTCACGGCGGCGCTGCGCCGCTGGCATGATCCTCAGTCCGTCACGGGGTCGCGAGGGGTACGCACTGTTCTCGTCGATTGGCTGTACCCGGGCTCGAACGTCGTGACGCGCGAAAAGCACACGGGGCCGCATGAGTTCGGCGCACTGACATTTCACGTCACGGTGACACTGCGATCCGAGATTTTTTCTTTGCAATCGTCGCGTTGCGAAAGTAGTGTTGTGTGCTCGGTGAAATGACTTGTGAATCACAATAAATCAGCCGGTAGATCGGACGGGGGGTGACAGTGCGGGTAAAAGACAGAAAGGAAGTAGAGAAAGGACATCGGGCGAATACTGCGGCACGACAACGGGACTTGCGACGTGCGCTACTGTCATTAAACGTGAGTGTTGCGTTTGCTTTATGAATGAAATTTTTCGACGTTAAATTATATATGTTCGTGCTCCGAATTTAATTTCCATGCAAAGTATACCATGTATCTTCGTATTTTTTTAAATTTTTTTTAATTTTCTCCCAACTCACAGGTATAATTAATTACATCTGTATGTTATATACGTATTAAGTATTTGAAAGTAGAGGATTAGAACGGGATCACAAGTTATCATTTTTCTGTATGAAAATATGTTTCTTCTTCGCAGTATTTCAAGATCTCACAAATTATTCAATATAAAGTGGTCACGTTTTAACGTGTGTGCTCGAGTTTAATGTTTCGAAAGAAATTGGTTGAGAGATAAAGAGAGAGAGAGAAAGAGAGAAAGATGGAGAGAGAAATACTCTGAAATATCTCAACATAAAAAGTGTGTCTTCTAAAATACGTAACAAGAAAAAGTCGATTCTTGCTATAAAGTTTGTGGCGTACACACGCGCGCGCGCGAAGTACCATCAAACCTTTCCCTATAACTTTTCGGAGTAATTGCGTGTTCGCGAGTTTTACGATGATTGTGATAAAATAAGAAGATTAAGAACCTAAGTAAATTCTTCGATAATTCTTGTTGAGAACAAGATATCATCGTGACTCCGGAAATTTATTTCGATTTTTCGGAGCAGCGCGAATATTCTTGAAATTCAGACGTAGACAAGAGTGCAAACATTTTCTTAAAAAAAAAAAAAAAAAAAAAGCCCGCGTCGCGCGCTTTCGCTCGCAATTAGGGCATTTCTTCGCGATATAACGAAAGAAAGGTCAGAAAGCTCAAACGTCAAAAGAGCTCATCTGTCACCGTGACAGATCGGAGCAGATTCGTTGTTCGCACGATCCCGAACGATCACTGACTATTGTACACCGAGTAGAGTTTGCGTTCTATTATCGTCCGACATTCGGCCAATTCGCGCTAGTACGTGCCGCCCTTTCGATGGGGCAGAGAGTAGCAGCGCTCGCGATGTCACTAATGCGGTAATCGCGTCACGCGCCTCTTTCGATGGGTGGTGAATCGCGCGGCGATGTGGTCACCGGCGCTTCGAGGCGCTTTGTGCCGACAATTTCTCGGCAATTGAGCAACTCCGCCAGCACGCAATTAATAATGCGGCCTAGCGAGATAGAGGCGAGATAAACGCTTACGTTATCGCGCGCGCTCGCTCGCTCGCGCCCAAGCTCAGCTCGGGGAATTAAATGATCACGATAGTGACGATGCGCATCTCTGCGCTGCGTTATCCGCAATTTCGCTGTTCATTCTCTTCGCAAACGACGCATCACGCACATTCTTTCAGCGGACGACTTGATCACAAATGTCGACGTTCTCTTCTCGGTGTCGTTCTCTCGAATCGCCGTTTTTTTAACGGAGGAAACAAAATTCGCGTAAAAAATTGTTGTCATCGTCGCTTACAAGTTACGAGAAAATCCGTCGCGTTTAAGATTTCGCGCTTTACGAGCGCGCGCTTCATCCCGGAAAATCTATACGATACAACCGCGTGAGAGGATCTACGCCACTGGTTGCTTCCGTGCGATAACTAATTCTCGTCACGTAAGCCCGTGTATGTGGCACACGTCACATTCTAGAAAGGAATGGATTCTATGTTGGGCGCGCCAACTCCCTCGCAGCTGATTATTTACCGACGTTTTTTGATCGATTCGCGAATATATTCAAGAATTCAATTTATCACGGCACCCAACCATCGGGGAAGCTGAATAATGCGCAATGCGCGCGTATTTTTCTGAATTTTAACTCCGTATAATTGTCGGTCATAACGTTTACGCGATAAATTCGCTATGTAAATAATTAACTTGGCGCAATCGACGCGGGCGTTTGCCCGCGCAGAGCACGCGCGCGCGCGCGCGCGAACGCTTCACTAAAATAGGTTCTCTTTGTGAACAAACGCTCGAATTGTACACCCGAGCCGGACGTATATATTTCGAAATTGTGTAAATAGCACGTAGAGCGCTCCGCTCCCGTATTCATATCGGGCACGGCTACGCTGCCGCTGAATAATTCTATCACTTTAATTACCGAAGTTTATAGCGCAAATCAGCACGGTGATGGAATAATTGAATCTCGCGGAAAGGCACCGCGGCTCTCTCGTATTCGCGCGCGCGCTCTGCTCTCTGCGTTCCGTCTGCGACTCGACGGCGCTTTTCTTCGATGATGTACGGGGGTTAGGCGGATTGTTGTAAATATAGCAATGTCCGACAGTGACTAAAAGCGAGAACATCAATCAGCAGTCGCGAGCCATTGTGTTCCACGAGGAGGCTGATAATAAATAGCGCCTTCCGTTCTCGCTGGTTATAATTCCTCTTCCCGATCGCTCTCTCGTGTGTCTCGTCTCTCGTCTCGAGCTGGTCTTTTTCTCATTTTCCTCGCACTCGACGATCGCGCGCGCACGCGCACACACACACACACACACACACACACATGTATATTCGCGTCTGTATATGTATACGTTAGTCCGTGCGCCGCGAAACAGGTGTCTAACTACCGACTGCCGTTTCTCTCCAGCTATATTCCTGCACGAGTATCTCTACCTTTATTGTAGCTTTATTGTACTTCTTGCTTCCTGCAGATCGCTCGAATCCGTACAATTACATTCGTGAACTGCGACCGTAGGATAGTACCCACAACTCGTCTGTCTATCGATTAACCATTAGAGAAATTAATGGCGCCCGTAGACAATAGAATAGCGCTATAAAGCTTAAGAAAGCGAATTAGATACGAGACACTCGTGCAGATTGCGCTAGTCGCGCGCGTGTTTATGTCCGTCTACGTGATCTGCTTTCGGTGAAGCAACGCGGTATAGCGAGAAGTTACCTTACTAAAAGCGCCACTTTAACTTGTCTTCCTAGGCGACGTATATCCTACCTACCGTGGAAGAAGTGATTTAAAAATATCGATGGAAAATTTTCTCGATAACTGTCTTCCTTCGGCTGCGAAGGAGGACTTTTTTCTCGCTGTCATGTGAAAGATACGTCGTGGACATGAAGTTTGCCGGAAAACTACACTATTTCCGGAAATTACATCTCGACGACACGGTGACTCAGCGGCCACTCATTTTATATAACGTTAAGCAGGTGAGATGACAGCGCTCGGTGCTGAAAAAGCTACGCTTGACTATTTTACAAACGCCGCGCTTCTACCGGCGCGCCCGGGAGAGAGAGAACGGCCGCGCTTTCTCGCATGCGCTAGTTCAGTTTCAAACTTTAATTAAAAAGGTGGAGTCGCGCAATAAGGTCCTTCCACCCCTTGAGCTAACCCTTACTCTTACCTCGCGAAACACCGCCACCATTCGCCCGCCGTTCCCCTGTCGAGTTCTTCGTGTGTGTGCGCGCGCGCGCGCGCGTGCGTGCGTATGTATACCGAGAAAAGCTAATTTTAATTTCATTTGCGGAAAATAAATAGAATTGACGAGAGTAACATCGACTAACTAGGGAGGGAGATGCACATTCATGCGTACTATTAACGCATAGCCAAAGTATATGTACACTTCTGATACAAACGGCAATTGAACGAAGGGTTCATTTTCAGACGGATATAATAAATGTTGATACAATCGGAATAAAAGTACGAGAATTGTAAACAGCTAAAAGTCAGCGTGTTGATACTGCGTTTTTTTTTTTTTTTTTTCATTTCGCGCACCGCTTGAGCAAAATTAATTGCCGCGTTTTTAATTAAACCATTAAATGTAATCACTGTACGCGACAGTCGTACACGGCGGAGAATTTTTATCCGAGCGATTCATTCAATATCCGCTCCCCGTGCTATGTACGTTATATTACATCGAAAAAAAAAGACGGGACTTTTAATGTAATTTAATTTAACAATATTGGGATGGTAATATAATGTACGAAATTACTTCAGCCATCATCGGCTCACTGGCTGAACGAAAATTCGGAAAATTCTGCGGTGAATCTTTTCGGTTGAAGGGAAACCGACCCACTCGGGTGAATGTTCAGCAAACCGCGGGATTGAGGTGGCTGTTACCAAGGCGCGCCCCGATCTTTGATTAAGAATTCAAGCGGAATAAGTCGATTCTTTGATAAAAGGATGTCGAATTGTCGATAGTCCGATACTTTTTTACTTCGCGAACTTTGCTATAAAATCGAGAATTAAACAATAAGGATTTATTAATGAGATACGCGTTATCGTTCGAGTGTGAATTCTTGCATAAAAAAAAAAAATAAAAAGAACACTCTTGCGCGCAAACGAATGTTCGAAACTTCATTATCATTTTAAATAAAGTATTTTTTATTTTTTATCACGTATATATGCATGTATATATCGCATTATTAAGTAATAATAATAACGTTACAAATATATACATATGTACACACATCTCGCTCATGCGCGATATATAAAAATATTTTACACTTTAAATTAAAATTTTTATTAAGCGTAATAATAATTGCTCATATCAGTGCTTAGCATCACTGCCAGCAATCATTTACTCGGAGAACAGTCACGCAATGATTCATTGCTCGGTAAAAAAAAAAAAACCCCTTTCGAAGCAGTTATATTAGCGATCATATCTGCACGAGATGCGTCTCGTGCGAGAGCAATTATAAGGTCGGCCGACAAGCATGACGACATTGGGTCATCGTCGACACGTAATCGCAATCGCTTGCACAATTTCTCGCTGCAACATTTCACACTACGATATTACAGACCGACGATTGCGGTGTCGTCGCAAAAAACCAAAAAATTAAATCTAATCTCGCGCCTAGAAAATACTTATCGTATAATCAGTGGACGCGGCCGATCACAAAGTGCCATTGCGTGCATCGCATCGTCATGTATGGAGAAACGTTTCGCAGCACACGCATAATGAATAATCGACTTGTTCCGCATGCGATCACGCTAGAGAGATTACGCTCTCATTTTCTGCTCGTGTGCGATTAACGCATCGATTCCTTTCTACTTACGCGAACGTCTAGAAAATCAAACGTTCTCGCTCTATTTT